TATTATAATAATGATGTGTAACACAAGGGTGCTCAATGTCGATGTAGAGCAAGAAGTCAGGCAATAGCAGAGGAAAAAAGTAATAATAGTACATGTATATCATGATGCGAGAAAATATAGCCACCCATGCATGCGTACTTTATAGAAAAAAAAAAATTGATAGATACATGCAGTGATCTTTACAAATATCCTTGGACACACATAATAAAACTGTTGCTTCTTTGCACATTGGCCAAAAGTGTAAAAATCTAGAAGAATTTTAGACAACAAACCTAGTGATTAGAAGTAAATTGTGTTGCCCACCTTTAGTTAATGAATTAAGAGCTAGTTCTGCCTGAACTAATCCTGGTTCGCAAGAATCACAAGTAGCATCTCCAAAATGTATATGACAAAGCAAGTTGATGCCACCAATTTGAATCAAGCTGCCATGTATTACTTCCATTGGATCACTGCGTTTCTTAGATTCTGACAAGCGTTTACCATTTAAATATGAACCATTTCTAGATCCCATATCTATGACGTAATATAGCTTTGAACACTCTGCATAAGTTAGCTGTAGATGGTTCTAAAAACACACAAAGATTATATATATATATATATATATATATATATATATATATATAGTTCTAAATTGATAAAAAAAATTCTGAAAGTTTTAGCTCTTAATATTAACTTTTAGATAGAGCGCAATTCAATCAAACTTTGTATGGAAATAGCATGGCAAAAAATTTTGAAAATTAAAAAAAAAATTTTTAGGTATAACTTAGCGATGAATTAAAAGTAAAAATTTGTGTCATTTTTTATTGAAAATTCCATGCTCTGCAAAATTTTTGAAATTTTTTTCATGCTATTTCCATATAAAACTTTGATCAATTTTTAACCATTTGAGCCCTTGGGAGCAAGGAAATTCAAAAATATCCATATTAAGGACCACCCTCATATATATGTATATATATATTACAATTTAAAATATCTTTTTAAATATTCACAATAGTTCTCCTAAAGCAAAAAAGTATGTATGGCACAAAAACAACAAAAGAATGATAGTTGTACCATGATAATTGTGGTCAGATGATAAGAAGGTGCAAAGTTATCATCATTCTTAAATCAATTTCATACTAAAGACTTAATTTTGTGATTAAACAAATTTTGGAGATCAATTGAGAACAGTATCAAAATGATACCTAAAAGTGATAACAAAAATGAAAATGCGTATGATAATATTAAAATTACCTTGCTGATATTAATGTCTGGAAGAACTATAGCATGATTTCCTTCTCTACCAATTGTTCCGCCACTGCAAGTTATAAGAAATAATGTACCTACTTTAATTTTAGAATTATTACTTTCAGCAACTATAATTCTCATAGCAGGATGGCCCATTCGAGTTGTTTCTGAAAGCAATTTAAGGAATAACAACCGATTCAACATCAATTATTTAGTCTTTTACTTATTTATAAAAGAAGTTTTTCCAAACAAATGATAGTTCTTTTTTTTGCAGTAAATAAATGTCACCTGTATGAGCCTCTAAGTCTAGTTGATTATTATGGTCAATAAGTTTGTTTGGTTAAAATTTTAAAATTGAATTAATATTATTAAGATATTATTTCTAAAACTTTCTAAAAATTATTTCTAAAACATAATTGTTGCGACTTTAGTCTGCTTCTGAGTCCATCATTCTAAAAAATTAATTTTTTATCTTTAAAACTATCACTTTTTTCAATTAAAATTTCAAATGAGGTTGTAAATTTGCTAAAAATTCAAATTGAAAGTAAGACAATAAATTGTGCCTGCTTAACATGGGAGGTTGAATCTTATTGGCAATGCGTCTATAACTATTCACCATGAAAGTTCATTATAATGTATTTATGTTACATTAGGTTATTAAGGGTGTTAATAACAGTTGTTTATTATTAAATATGTTTGATTGTTTCATTTACCCATAATTGCATCAGCAGAACACTCTGATGGCACATCTGAATCATCAGAGCATTCTCCTTCTTCACGCTCAACTTCAGATGTTTTGGATCTATTTTTTTTAATTCTTTTATTTCGGTGAGATAACTCTAGGTCTATATGCTGACTAGATAGCTGTGAATGCTTTTCAGTTGTCTGATACCTCTTCCCATTGTAAGATACTGGTGAGCCAATTACACATTTACCAGATGTTAATTCTGATGTTATATTTCCCTACAAATTAGGGATCTTGTATTAGTTTATTAACATTTAAACTACTTTATAAAACATGCATATAAATGTTCAACAATTTTAATGTACTTTAAGTTGTAAAATATAAGTTTGAAATAGACAATTATAAGTAATGAACTTATCTTTCAATTTGGATTAACAATTAAACATAAATTATTTATGGCTACCATAGTTATGTGTGGTCATTCAACAAAATCAACAAAAAGTTTCATTTATAGTTTTATGTTTATAGGTATTTATTAGTTTATAGTTGAGCACAATTTAGTTTAAAAATTCAAACAACTTCAATAAACTCAGTTAGATAAAGAAGTTAAGAGTTAATATCAACAATAGCAAGATTTTACCAATGTACATACTGATAATTCATTAGAGCCTTTGGAAACATCACTGCATGAATGTAGCTTATATTTCTTTTCTGTCTCATCGTATTGATAATAGCAGCCGGCGTTCCCATCATAATACAAACATAGGTCCTAAAATGTGTATGTTGTAATGTACTAGAAAAAAAAATGCTCGTTCTACACTTAGTTTTTGTTTGAAACTTTACCGCATCATAGTAATAGCCTGTCGAATAATCATAATACATTCCAGAAACAGGCTCATAAACAAAATTAGATTGTATGTTTTCAGAAACTTCTTTAGATTGACTAAGCTCAATTTTTGCTACCGCATCAACGGTAGTTGACTCATGTTTGTTGTTGATAGATTTAAAACAAATTTTTGGCGGCTGCAATATATGCAAAAAGTTATATATGTTTTATAAATTAATAAGAGTTGAATAAATAATAAATTAATATTACATCGGCTAAAGCATTTCGAACATTTGTTAGCACTTGAGCTTGAATGTCAATTACATCATGAAGTGTATTTATGTACTCAACAATTTCTGGAAAATCTTTTAGTTTTTCTTCATATTGTACATCAGGAAGCTCCACATTGGGCATCTGACAGGCATCATCTCCGTATGTTGATCCAGGATTATTGGACATTTTTGTTAAATTATATATTGTTTTCACTATGACGATGATAAATGGTAACACAATAAAAACGAGCAACGCGATTATAATGTCTATATAAGCGATAAAATAAATAAAATATTTATCTAAATATAGACATCGTTTTTAGCTCATGATTAAAATACTATAATATATCCATTTAAATTCATTTGTTTTGCTGTTCATTTATACCATTTGTTTCATTTTCAATATTTTTGACATAACGTCCATAACCTTTATTAACGTATTTATACAGGAATTCATCATACAGCAATACCCAACATATAAGTTTTATGTGTGCAATTTATGCTTATTTATCATAGACCTTATTGGCTATGTGCGAAGGCATGGAAGGGGAAGTCAAATCGACCGAAGCGTTCGTTGTGGGCTACTTTGAGAATAAAAGTAGGCTATTATGACAGAAATTTTAAGCAAAAACACATACAATATTGTTATTTCAAATTTAAATGAGATAATTAAAATGAGCCACCAAAGCTGTTGTGTAGTGGTTGTAGAAATAAGAGCAGAAAAGTGACTGCAAATTCTATACATTTCCTACAGCTAAGTGGAAAGAAAATCAACGGGAAAAGTGGATCGCGGTTAGAAGAATAAAGTATCATAACCTTATTGTTATAAAAATTTAATTCGGAGTACTATGAATATTTGTAAAATTGTTATGTTTAGCAAAAAGAAAAATTATAAGTCAATAAATTGTTATTTTATCAAAATTTAATGCTTACTAGAAAAATTGTTTTTGCAAACAATGTAATTAATACAGGCTGAAATAATGATAATATTAAATTTATATATTTATATATTGATATGATTATGTATAACTATTATCTATCTATTAATTACATGTTATTGTATAATAAATGTAATTATGATTTATTAAAAGAGAAATAAAAGTTATCACATAGCGTAAAATGTTTATTTTACCATCAGTTTAATTAATACAATGCTGAAATAATGCAAAATATGTATTTGTAGTGTTGATGGATCACCGTGGGGTCCCAAGCCCTATGATCGCATTTGCAGTGAATCGGACGAGGTATTGAATCCAACCTACTTGTCAACAATATTTCCTTCAATTTACAAGACTCGAAAAGTTAAAGTCGTTTTTTTTCCTGCAATTTTATTTGATGGGTCTTGTCTTTATAATAATGCCTAAATCATGTCTTTATAATAATGTCTAAGGGTTTAGTTTGACCAAAAATAATGAAAAAATGAGTAAATTAATTTATTATTTACTTATTCTATTGATAAAATATTTTTATCATTATTATATTGTTTTTATCAAGAAACTATTCCGAGCTCATGACATAAGCTTTAAGGCACTTAACCTTAAAAATGTTTACTGCATTTCTTTATTAAATTAATCATTACACTTAACTATGTTTTAAGTGCGTTGAAGTAAATTTAATAATTTCAATAAACATTGAGCGTTCACATTATTATTGTATAATGTTTATTATTATTTATAACAATTATTTAATATCTTTTCTTCTTAACAAAATATAAAACCCATAAAAACCACACACTGATAGCCTTAATTAGTTCATATTTATTCCGGCGCTGCATGAGCGCTGCAGTCACGCTCTGAGCGAATACAATACCAATGAAATTGTATAAGGTCTATGTTATTATTTAAGTTTATATGTGCAATGAAAAATGGCATCGAAACTTACTTATCTATGTTCGAAACCATCTCGAAAATAAATAAATACCACTCTTCTTTTATCTATGATAAATACATACTTATTTATCTAGGAATACTGCTTATTTATCTATGAATACATGGCCCATGGCCGAACATCTCGAACAAATGTAGATTATCGTCGTAGATTATCGTAGATTATCGAAATGAATTAGTATTCAAATTGATCGAAGGATGGCGCTACGATTCACATTTTTTTTGATCTAGTTTGATCTACATTGATTCGAACGACATTTTCTATAAATTGTCATCGCGTGTTGTAGTTGAGTTGTGTTATACTTGCTTATCTGTTATTGTTTATATATATAATTATGTTTTGTGATTACTTTTTTTTATTTATTATTAAGTT